GGCCCAGCTGACCTGGCTCCATTCCCCTTCCCCCAGTGTCTACGCATAATGTCTGGGTGCTTTGGGATTGCCCAACTTTATCTACCACTATAGGCACCTAAGTACTCCTTCCAGGGGCCTGAGGACAGGCCCACCAACCTGCCACTACCACCACAGCTGCCACCCACTTGTATGCCCCACCTGCAGGCCTAGGGACTAGCCCACCCTGCCCAACACAGTCAGCACTGACACCAGAACAGCCAGGATTGTCCTGTCACTGCTACTGCCATCACCCATGCCACACTTGCTTCCCAGGGGCCCAAAGACCCTCCCACCCACATGGCCCACTGCTGTGACTGCCAGCACCCGAGGAAGCCTCCTGGTGGCCCAATAATCAGCTGACCTAAATCCACTAACACCAGTGCCAGTGCATACTACTCTGGGGCCCAAATATAGGGATGCTGGGACTGTTGGTGGCACCACTAGAACCTGAGGACTGGCTCACTTGACATGTCTGTTCACAGCAAAACTTTACCACAGCCCCCACTAATAACAGCACCCTCAGCCATTGAGGATCATAGACACTACTGCCACTGTTTATAGCAAAAGATATCATATGGAGACCACACTACTGCACACACCTAGAATCAAAGCCAAAGTGTCCTAACCAGCCAGTATCATAGATATATCTTCAGAAAAAAATTCTCCCCTATAAAGCAAATTTTAAAAATTGGAAGAGGCGGCTTTTATGCCAGCTGCACAGATATCAATGTAACGAAATGAAAAAACAAGGAAATATGACACCTCCGAAGGGAAAAATTAACTTTACAGCAACAGGTTCCAATGAGAAGGAAATTTACAAAATTCTAGAAAAAGAATTCAAAACAATGATATTATGATATTTAAAAAGCTCAGTAAAATTCAAGAGAAGTCAGAAAAACAATACAAAGAAATCAGAAAAACAATTCAGGATATGAATGAGAAATTTACCAAAATAACAGATGCCATAAAAAAGAACCAAACAGAAATTCTGGAACTGAAGAATTCATTAAGTGCAACACAAAATACACTCAAATGTTTCAACAATAGACTAGATCAAAAAGAAGAACAAATTTCAGAACTTGAAGACTGGTCTTTTGAAATAACTCAGTTGGACAAAAACAAAGAAAAAAATAATAAAAACCAATAAACAAAGCCTACGTGACATATGAGACAACATAAAGCAACCATATAGTTGTATTTTCAGTGTCTCAGAAGGCAAAGAGAAAACTAAAGGAATATAAAACCTATTTAATGAAATAATAGCTGAAAACTTTTTAGTCTAGCAAGAGGTTTAGACATCCAGATTCAGGAAGCTCAGAGATCCCCAAATAGATACAATTCAAAAAGGTCTTCTTCATGGCACATTATAGTCAAACTGTCAAAAGCCAAAGACAAAGAGATAATTCTAAAAATGGCAAGAGAAATGTGTCTACTCACTTATAAGGGAACCCCCATCAAACTAACAGCAGATTTCTCAGCAAAAATCTTAAGACCTGGAGAGAATGAAATGATATATTCAAAGTGCTGAAAGAAAAATAAAATGCCAGCCAAAGATACTATACCTAGTAAAGTTATCCTTCATAAATGAAGGACATATAAATCTTTCCCAGAAAAGCAAAAGCTGAAGGAATTTATCACTGCTAGACTGGCCTTATAAGGAATGCTTAAGGGAATCCTACAAGCAAATAGAAAGACATCCCATATTCATGGATTGGAAAAATTAATATCATTAAAATGACCATATTACTGAAAGCAATCTACAGATTCAATGCAATCCTTATCAAAGTACCAACATCATTTTTCAAAGAATTAGAAAAAAAATCCTAAAATTTGTATTAAAAGAAAGCCCAAACAGCCAAAGCAATTTTGATAAGAAAGAACAAAACTAAAGTTATCATACTACTACAAAATATATCACAAGGCTATAGTAACTAAGACTGCATAGTAGTTGTTTAAAAACAGACACATAAACTAATGGAACAGAATAGAGAACCCAGAAATAAATTCACATATTTACAGACAGCTGATTTTTGTCAAAGGTCCCAAGAACATACCTTGGGAAAAAGGATATCCTTTCAATAAATGGTGCTGAGAAAATTGGATATCCATATGCAAAAGAATGAAATTGTACCGCTCTCTCTAATCACATATAAAAATCAACTTAAGATGGATTAAATACTTAAATGGAAGACCTGACACTGTAAAACTACTGGAAGAAAACTCTTCTGGACATTGGTCTTGGCAAAGATTTCATGACTAAGACCTGAAAAGTATAGGCAACAAAAACAAAAACAGAAAAATGAGCTTACGTTAAACTAAAAAGCTTCTGCACAGCAAAGGAAACAATCAACAGAATGAAGAGACAAGTTGTTGAATGGAAGAAATGTTTACAAACTATTCATCTGACAAGGAACTAATAACAAGAATATACAAGAAACTCACATCAATAGTAAAACAACTACAAATAATTAAAAAGTAACTGAAGGACATGAATAGACATTTCTCAAAAGAAGACATAAAAATGACCAGCAGGTATATGAAAAAAAAACTCAGCATCAATAATCATCAGGGAAATGCAAATTAAAACCAAAATGAGGTATCATTTTATCACAGAATATTACCAAAAAGACCAAAAATAACAGATGCTGGTGAGGATATGGAGAAAAGAAAACCTTTACACACTGCTGGTGAGAACATAAATTAGTATAGCCACTATGGAACAGTACAGAGAGTTTTCAAAAAGCTAAAAATAGACCATATGATCCAGCAATCCCACTACTGGTTATTTATTCAAAGGAAAAGAAATCAGTATATCAAAAAGATACCTGTACTTGCAATGATATGGGTGCTGGTTCTTTCCCATTATAAGTTTTTGGAACTATATGAATTTTTAAACTGTGTGCTTTATTACTTGGATTTAAAAAGTGTAAAAATTTAAAAGTCTAATTTATGGCATTTCAGTCTTTACAGAAAATACATTAATAGGGATTCCAAAAACCTCTCAGCAACTACAGATTGGCAACTCTCCACAGCTGTAATAAAATAAAACTAAGGTTCAAAATGTTCATTCAGATGTATTTTGAGATACCAATGTGCTTTTATTAATGAAATATAATAATGCGCTTTTAAAAGTTTGTGTTGATAGACTGGACATGGTGACTCACTATCTGTAATCCCAGCACTTTGAGAGACTGAGATGGCTGGATCACCTGAGGTTAGGAGTTTGAGACCAGCCTGGCCAACATGGTGAAACCCATCTCTACTAAAAACACAAAAATTATCCAGGTGTGGTGCTGCATGCCTGTAATCGCAGCTACTTGGGAGGCTAAAGCAGGAGAATTGCTTGAACCCAGGAGGCGGAGGATGCAGTTAGCTGAGATTGTGCCACTGTATTCCAGCCTAGCTGACAGAGGGAGGCAAGACTCTGTCTCAGAAAAAAAAAAGTTTGTGTCAAGTTTAATTCTATTTAATATATAAATTTTTGATTTAAAACATGGTGAAGACAATGACTCCTTACTACCCAAATATTTTTTTAAGCTAGACCTTTTTTTTCTCTGCACAACTTCTTGTGAATTTACATGGCTCTCAAAATTTGGCAAAATCAAAGAAAATTTCCTTCGATTCTTAAGAGAAACTAATAAAAAGAAATGAGGAAAAAATCTGCACTGAAAAGAATTATATGTAAGAATTGTATCAACCTAGGATCAGTCTCTGTATGTTACAGGAGTTTTCAAAAAGTTCATGGGACTGGTTCAAAGATAATGAGTTATCTCAATTGGTTGTTCATAATTGGTTACAGATCAAACTCCTTGTTTTACTCTTCCTCCCCTTCTCACTACTGCACTTGAATAGTCTTCAGAACAACAACCAAAAAACCCCAAAAGTTTGCGGAAATATCTATTGTGAAAAGTTTTGCATGGATTTCAAATTCTTTTGCACCAAAAATGAACTCGTTGCTAATAAATATTAACTCATAAATGTCTGGACAAGATCTAGTTTGAAGCCCTGAGAAGGATAAGACATCAGTTTGAGGAGTGCCCCTCTCTGAGCAACATGAATTCTGCTAAAATTGAAGCAAGAACAAACATCAAATTTTATGAGAAACTTGAGTGGAAGAATGATAAAATCATTGATGCTTTACAAAAAAATGTATGGGGACAATGCCTCCAAAGAAATCAGCAGTTTACAAATAGATAACTCATTTTAAGAAGGGATGAGATAATGTTGAAGATGAAGCCACAGTGGCAAACCATCCACAGCATTCCACGGCAAGGAAAAAACTTACCTTATTTGTGCCCTAAATGAAGAGGACGAACAAATAACAGCAAAAGCAATAGCCAACACCATAGGCATCTTAATTGGTTTAGTTTACACAATTCTTACTGAAAAATCAAAGTTGAGCAAACTTTCCACTTGATGGGTGACAAAACCATTGCAATCAGATCAGCTGTACACAAGAGTAGAGCTTCTGATGGAAATTTTAAACAAGTGGGATGAAGACACTGACACATTTCTTTGAAGAATTTTAACAACTGACTTCATCTTCCAACTGTTCTATTAATTTTTGAATTTTTATATCAAATACAGTCATCCCTCAGTACCAGGAAAGTATTGGTTCCAGCTCATGTCTTCAGAGGCAGCCATTTGTGCAGGCATTTATATGTTAAGTTGTATTGCAGAATTTATGTAACTAAGGATACAAAAATTTGAGGATACTCAAACTCCCTATGAATGAAGGAGTAGTTGCATATAAGTTACATACATCTTGTATACTTTTTTCTTTTTTAGAGAGAAAGTCTCACTATTTTGCCCAGATGTGGGCAAACCATCTCTAGATCTTTAAACCATCTCTAGATCACTTATAATACCTAATACAAATGAATTACATTGGTAAGTGCTATGTAAATAGTTGTTATACTGTGTTATCTTTTTGCTTGTGTTGTTTCCTTTTCTTTAATTTGAATACTTTTAATTTACAGCTGGTTGAATCCAAGGATGCAGAACCCATGGTTATAGATAGCTGACTGTAATATTTCCAAGAGCTGCTTCTTGCATTTTGAGGACGCCTTTATGTAAGTACTTTTTATGAGTACTATGTCTTATAGAATATCTCTGAAGATACTAAAGGAGATTTTTGACAGATCTCTGATACCACCTGAATTATTTGTTTTCTCCAAGATCAACTCTCTCATCTATAGAAATATAGATGAGAATAGAAGATCTGATTATGTATGTTGAGCTTGTTTACTGGTAGGAGGTGGTCTGGGAGATGGCATTTTCCCTAAGTACCCACCAAATGACAAAATGTGGAACAGCTCTGCTTATGGTTCAACTGAAAGTTCATTCCATTTCTTTAGAGGTAAAACATTCTGATTTCTCCCTCTGGGAATAAGTGGCCCATATTCTGTATGTGATTCTATGTGTAGGAATGGAAGAGGTATGTGTCATAAACTCTCAAGAGGAGTTAACTGCTTCCTACTCAACTATCAGTTTGTCCCTATATTTTCAGCTTCTTCCTGCCTCTAATAAATCTATCATACCTGAATCCGGAACCATGCTTGGGTCTTGCTGAACAGATTGGTTCCCTTCTCCATTGCAGCTACCTCCTACAATACTCTAGGCTGCAGTTTCCTTAGCTATATTTTTTAAAAAAAACTATCATCTTCTATATGCTATTGTCTGCCAAAAATTCATTGAACTCTCTCCTCTGTGAAGGTCCTCCTCTGAATAGCTTAGCTTTTATTCCCTTTTTATTCCTGTACTATATTTTTAATGAGATTTCCAAAGGGAAGGGAGTGAAAAATGTACTCTCTATATGTGAATATCATATTCAATTTTTTAAAAGTAAGGGTTTTCTAACCTGCCCTTGATTTGAAAACTTACAGAAAGTTATAAAAATCTGGAAAGTTTGTGACATGCTTTTCCTGAAGGACCACACAAAAATAAACTTCCTTCTCCTTTAAATATAACATAATCCAGTTGGATGCAGTGGCTTATGCCTGTAATCCCAGCTACTCAAGAAGCTGAGGCAAGAGAATCACTTGAGCCCAGGAGTTTGAGTGACTGATGATCATACCGCAGCAGTCCAGCCTGGGCAACAGAGTGAGTCCCTTATCTTTAAAAATAAATAAATAGATAAATAAATAAAACATAATTCAGATTTTGAACCAAGTTGGACATAGATATGCAGAGAGAAAATAATATTTCTCATTTGTTGAATATCATTTTGTGTATATTTTAAGATATTGCCTCATTAAATACCTATTTTGTAGATGGAGAAACTGAGGCTCAGTTAAGCAATTTACACAAGGTCACATATCTGGTGAAATAAAGGGTAATTCAGTATCAAACATAGTACCATCTGATCTAACCATGCATGTTGCCTACTGATGCAAAGCTGCTACAAAATATGAGTGACGCCCATAGAGGCAAGTTCTGAGCATGAAGTAAAGACCTAAGTATGTGTTAAATGGATTATAGCAATAGTCAATGTGTACAACACAAAGTGATTGGGAACTTATTTGTGAGCTTATGGGGCTCTTGACAGTTCTTTCTCCCCAAGATTGAACACTTGAAGGAGCTGGTTTAATTTGCCCACAGTCTCATGCGGCAAGCAGGTTGTTACCTTCCATTTTAGCTCTGTTATTAAGAGGCTCTGTTGAACTCTGTCTTCAGCACACACGCTGATAATCATATTGACATTTCAGTTCCGGGGAAAAGATATCATTAATTAAAATGTACATTATTGAACAGTCACAGTACATGTTGGATTCTACCATGGGGATGGCAGTAAATGGGCAATTTATTAATCAATTATTGCTACAATTCCAATTCCAAACCATACTGACAAATAATATTAGTTACGTGACTTAAAAAAAAATAGAACTGCTGGCCAGGTATGTTGGCTTACATCTGTAATCTCAGCACTTTGAGAGGCCTAGGCAGGTGGATCACAAGGTCAAGAGATCAAGACCATCTTGGTCAATATGGTGAAACTCCCTCTCTACTAAAAATACAAAAAAAAAAAAAAAAATAGCTGGGTGTGGTGGCACTTGCCTGTAGTCCCAGCTACTCGGGAGGCTGAGGCAGGAGAATCGCTCAAACCAAGGAGGTGGAAGTTACAGTGAGCTGAGGCTGAGATTGCAACACTGCACTCCAGCCTGGTGGCAGAGTGAGACTCCATCTCAAAAAAAAAAAAAAAAAAAAAAAAAAAAGGAGGAGAACCGCTTTACTTACACCAATGTCATGTTTTCTTTCCTCAGTTTGAAATTTTAAAAGACTAAAATTGTCAGTGGCATAATTAAGTCAAATATTTATTACTACTTTTAAAACTACTTCATGACAATGAATCTTACATATGTAAATGGAAAAATGAGAACTGTAGCTCTCCAGATGGAAGCTATTCAGAACAGATGCCATCATCTAGATATATACCCTGGGGGAAGAGATATTAATCAAAATAAGGGATAATAATGTAGCTCCTAACTGGCTATAGCTGGTTTCTAACTTACAAGATAACTTACAAATATGGGGGAGTCAAAGCACATTTAGGCAGAAGCAAAGAGCCCCTGCTTCCAATAGTACAATTTTCAGGGGAGTGAGGAACATAGATACACCTCGTTTTATTTTAATTATTTACTCAATTTATTGCTGGAAGTGAAATTGCTATCTCTAGAAACCTCGATATAGGCATAGCAATAAGGAAACACAGAGACCTTACAAAGAGCTCAGAACACTAGTCTGATAGTTTTATAGGTTGATAAAACACCTAACCTAGGGAATATTTTTGATCTAATATTATTTTCCTCAATGAATCTTTTTCCATTAAGTATTTAAGAAGCTTTCACTTTTTGTACTTCATAGATTGATAATTGCTATTTTGCTTGAACATTTTTGGCAAATATATGTATTTGTTACAGTTAGCTGGGAAGGAAAAACTTGAATGAGAAATTCAGATAAATTCTAGCAAAGTTCAGCCTAATTAAAAAAATAAAAGCCAGGTATAAATTTTGCAAAATTTCTGCCAAACACTCAAATATTAAAATCACATTTATCTTTGACTTTTCTCTGAATATCTCTACCAATTCAAGGTACACTTGAAATTTAGGCAAGGTCAGTAAAAGAAACTATAGTCCCAAGGAAGTTATTTGAGTTAGATTTATGTCAGATGATATTGGCCAAAGAAATTGTTTTTATGAAATAGAAAACCTCAGTGATGTAAGATACTATGATGTTATAAAATGCTATACCTGAACTCCACCTCTTAGAGTTAAGATCCTTGCAGAACAGAAGAAAAAGAAGTAAAAAACAAAAACAAAAACAAACCATGATTTAGTAGAAACTGCAAATTGCCTGTGTTGAAGTTAGAGGTTAGCTCATTTAAGAGATGCAGCATGAAATTATAAATGATGTAATGCAGTTTCAGACTCACGTTCATATCCAAAGGGAAATGGAGACATGAGCCCATTTTGTTGATAATGAAGACATATCTTTCTTTACTGCAGATTTAAACTATGAAGAAAATCTTTAGATTGGGATGGATAAAAGTGCTACGTGAAAACAAGAGGACACCCCAATGAATAACTACTGTGATGTAATATCATAAGGCCAAGACACATTTTATAGTAAAATATAAATGAACATTCAATGATACAATATGTTATTTGTGATAATTAACAAAGTATTATACTCAAGAGCATCAAAATAAAAATAATCACAAATAGTCCAAAGGAAAGTACACATTAAAATGACAAATTGGATTTTGGTTTGAATGTAAATATATTTAAAGTAAGTGGCTAAATTTTTTAAATGATGTGGCAATTGGACTTGAAATTCAGAAATGCCATATTTAAGATTTGCAAGCTAGAACAATTCCATAGGTTGATTTCATTCTGATAAGGAAGATTATAACTTAAACTCTGCCCTGCTAACACTGTAATGACTATTGGCATTGGATTGATATGAATACTTCCTTGCAAAATGCGGAGTTCTCAATCAATTTCAAGTGTTAAAAATCTAAAGTGCTTAAAAGGAACTTTAAAGATGACAAATATTATCTATTCCTTTTGCCAACTCTATAATAACTGCTGACCAGTCACAATGTTAACTGATTGCTAACACTTCAGCAAAATGTAGTATTAACTAGAACTGTATGTCACAGGGCTTAAATGTCATTTCACTGAGGAGTGTATGAAGTAGGTTATATATTTAAACGTATATACTTTACTTATATACTTACAGATATAAGTATATATACTCATATACTTTAATATTTTATATGCTTATATACAACTTAGTTATATACTTAAGTATGTAAATATATATACCTCAGTATACATGCCTTATATAGCTAAGCTTATAAACTATGAAACCAGAGAAACCTGTAAGAGTCCTCCCTTCACAGTGACACTGTGAAAATTATTTCTAAACCCTCTGAGCCTAGATTCCTTCATTTATAGTCTAATACATGTATCTACTCTGTAGATATTAAACAAATTAAATAACAGAGTACTTAACAAGTGTCTAACCCATAAGATGTAAATTTTGTTTTGTTTTGACAACCTACATAACAGAGAGAGAGACTCTCTAAAAGAAAATGATGTTTATTCAAGAATAAACATTGCAATGGGAATAAGCATGACATAGTAAACCAAGCACATATTCCCATTGATGCTAATTCTGAATAAATATCATTTTATTTTAGAGAGTTCTGTCTATTATTTATATTGACAGTTTTATTAAATTTTGATGAGTGGATGGAAGTGGAGGACATTATGTTAAATGAAATAAGCCAGGTACAGAAAGACAAATTTCTCATGCGTTCATTCATTTGTGGAAGCTAAAAAGTAAAGCAATTGAACTCATGTAGATAGAGGATAGAATGACGGTTTCCAGAGGCTGGGAAGGGTAGTGGTTAAGGGAGAGGGGAAGTAGCAATGGTTAGTGGGTACAAAAATATAATTACATAGAAAGGTAAGATTTAGTATTTGGTAACGCAACAGTGTGACTACAGCAAACACTTTATTGTACATTTAAAAATGAGTAAAATAGTGGAATTGGAATGTTTGTAACA